TATAAGCTGTAAATTTGGCATAATACTGACCCTATGAAGTATAATAGTAATAATAAAACTATAATTGTCTGTTACTCACAGGCCAAAAGAGCTTTGATATTGGACTACTTAATTTCAATTGATATATTCCTGGTTGTATTGGACAATATTCTTTAATTACATCATCACAGTAGTCGCATAAATTAAATTTCTCGTCAACGAAAGTAATATTAGTATAATTATTGAAGTTATGTGTCAGTGTGGCATGCAATATACCCCATTGTATGGTTCTCTCTATAAATGGATTCTTGTTCATGTTATAATCATTATTACTCACTGATCTGTAGCAATCCTTGCAAATAGCTCTTTTCCCCACGTTTTAGTGGAATTGGAGTTAATGGTTTATTAGTAAGTTCAGCAAATTTTGTAACAGCTTTTAAGTTTAATAAAATAAATCAATGTATTGCTGAACTTACAACAATCAATAAATCCTTTGTTATCAGTAGGTTCTTTGATAGTACAGTATATATGATAAGAGGTTTTTATTTATAGTATAGTAGTCAGTATCTTACCGTTAGTAGATCCAGTCAATACAGACACTACTAGTACAACTGATAGGGCTAATAGTATGAATGAGAGGTTCATCTTCTCTTTCTATTTTCAGCAGTGCAAGGCTCTAGCTTCGTTTTGAGGTGTTGTTGAAAGTGTCTGTCCCTCCCAAGGTAATGTACATCAATTGTGTGGATCCTCTTAATACTAATGTTTACTCATCAAGTTATATCATTGATTTCTGGTGGTTTAATAACATCACTTTCCTGCCTTATATAATATTAAGCCCTCCATACACTAGGCAACATGTTGCTAACAACATTTGTAGTTACTTTGATCTTTTGAGCAACTTGTTGCAAAAATAGAACTGATTTTTATGCTTTGTAACATGTTGATTACGAAATCAAATTAACCACAAATGTTGCTAGCAACATGTTGTCTGGTGTATGAAGGGCTTTAGGCCAACCTAAACTTTAATCCATTCCCTATGCATCTTGTTCATGTAATGTACACACATTATGGTTATATTTATATCCTTGTTAATATCCTTTTATAATATTAAAGGGTGCAATGCAGCCAGTTAATATTGTATCAATATTAATGTGTTCATTAATCAATAGTGCATTGTTTTGTTATACATATTATTTCGTCTCCTTTCTCATTGTACACTGTAGCTTTGCCATGATACTGACCCTATGAAATTAAATAGTAATAATAATACACTGTATTGTTACTCACTGGCCAAAGGAGCTTTGGTACTGTAGCATTAAATTTCCAATGATATATTCCTGGTTGTAATGGACAATGTTTCTGGATTACATCAACAAAGAAGTCACATAAATTAAATTTCTCATCAATGAAAGTAATATTAGTATAATTTTTGAAGTTATGTGTCAGTATGGCATGCAGTACAGCCCATTGTATGGTTCTCTCTATAAATGGATTCATATTTATTCATAATTAATATCATTTACTGGTTTGTAGTATTCCTTGCCAGTAGCTTAATTCCCCACGTTTCAATATCAATGGAGTTAATGTTGCATTAGTAAGTTCTGCAAATTTCTTAGTAACAGCTTTAAAATAATGAAATGAATCAACAGTGTATTACAGAACTTACAGCAATCTGTGAATCTTGTAGGATCTTTTGTGATAGTGTAAAGGTAATTATGAGGCATAGTTATAATCTATTAGTATAGTAGTCAGTATCTTACCATTGTAGTAATTGTTAGTAGATCCAGTCAATGTAGATACTGCTAGTACAACTGATAGAGTCATCAATAGGGCGCTCATCTTCTTGCTTAATAGTGTTTTTGCTGTTACGTGTGAAAGTAATATCATTATTGAGTTCTGTTTATTGAAATGTATCCGAGTAATGTGTACTTTTAATGTTTACTTTTATTTAAGCTAACTAAAACTATATTATCCATCCAGTGTAGAATATATTATGCTTTTTGTTGTATTTTGATCTATAGTAATGTCTTGGAATGTGTGGATAACTTCAGAAGAGTCTTAATTTGAACTGTGGTTAATAATTAGAATCGCTCTATTTTTTATATTATTTGATATTTGTAAATAACCCTACTTTATTTCACACACTGTATAATAACTATTACGTTATGATTTGTTATTTTTCAATATTAAATTCTGCCATTGCACAAAATATTTCATTGTTATTCTCATCATAAGCAATGACTTTAATGCAATACTTGCCCTATGAATCAGAATAATTATTTTAAATAATGTATTGTTACTGACTGGCCAGAGGAGTAGTAGTGATGGAATTGTGCTATTGTATAATCCATGATATATTCCAGGTTTCAATGGGCAGTACACACCAGACTCACCAGTAGCAGTCAGAGAAGATATAATATCACAAAGATTATACTTGGCGTCTTCAATAGCAAGATTTATGATATTTTTGAATTGATGTGTCATTGTTTGATGGAGCGTACCCCATTTCAATTCTTTCTCTAAAGGACAAATACACATGTATTAATTGAGCAATTGATTATCTTCATTACTTAATTTTATGATTCCTCTGATAATGTAGTTTTGTCCTGGCTTAACTGTTTTTCCAAATGTATTTGATGTTACATTTGTTATTTCACCAAAATCATGAGAAGTAGCTTGCATGTTATGTGCCAGAGAAAATACATCAAAATAATGTAGTGTATTACTGAACTTACAACAATCCATGTATCCTTTATCAGCAGGATTTTAGTTAATGGTATAATTCAAGCAAGCATATACATGTATTAGATTATTATCCATTAGTACATTAGTCAGTATCTTACCATTGTAGTAACTTTTAGAAGATCCAGTTAATGTACATACTAGCACAACTGATAAGATCGTCCATAGGGCATTCATCTTTTGATATGTTGCTCTCAATGATGTACGGTCTTAAAGTGTTTGCTGTTATCCTTTCACTTGAGTTATATTGTTCACATCGTAGTGTAATGTTTACACATGCTTCACCTTCTGCTGCCTTTTTAGTTAAAATAACATTAGGTTTGAGTGCCATTGTTTAGCCTTTATATAAACTAGAACTATTGCTGTTGAATACTGCTATGGCTAATTCAAACTTTTGATGACTTGCATTAGGACCAATCAGGCAAAAGTGCTGAGTTTAGTAGATATTTCGTTTTTTGCCACATTTAATTTGCACCAAGGTCATTTATAATAATAATAATAATAATAATAATAATAATAAATAATAATAATTAGATCTATAACCATCACTATTCATTATTTTTTCAAATAAAGGCGGGACCAGACTAGTGAAGCTGAGGTTGTTCTCGAGCTAAAAGTGGAGAGAGAAAGGAGCAGACTTGACTTGGAGGAGCTAACAAACCTATTGGATGGAGGAGCAGTGTTTACTGACAAAAGAAGAGAAATGGGTATGATATTTGGAGTAATGAAATAGGCTCAGTATCTATTCTATGCTTTTAAATAGTTAAAATGGTAGTGGAGGATCCAGTATTTAAGAGAGACAACAAGTATTTTCTGTCTTCTGAGGAATCTTTTGACTCTGCAATCAGGAAAAATGTTCATTACATTGAATTATTAAAGTCAGGAATGCTAAATAAAAGTAACGGCAAAGCCTATTATGAAAGGTATTTGGGGTATAATGCTACTAGATTGCATTATGATAATTTTAATCATTTTAGTGCAATAGATGATGACTTCCCGCAGCTGTTCATGAGTTAATGTTTGTACCAACAAGTGAAGTAAGCAACATACATGAAGAAAAAAGTTCGCTAATTAAATATTGATCAATGTATAATAATAATAATAATAAAGAGAGAGAGAGAGAGAGGAGGAGAAAGATAATGATAATAATAAAACACAATAACAGTATAATTAAATTATGTTACTAGAATACTATAAATTATATTAAATTTATATTTTCATGTGCTGGTAGCAGTGTATAGTAAATACATTCTTAACATAATAGGGTCAAGGCAATGAAGAACAAAAAGAGAAATGGTTAAAATATCTCGTAATTTTGATATCATTGGATGTTATGCTC